TGATATTTTTTTCATTCACAAAATTACAAACTCTAGACAGCAGTAGAGGAGAGAGATGATGTATAATAGGATGCTCCTGGCATGTAGTGCTGATGTAATACATCAGGGGAAAATATCACAACAAGTGTCCATTGCATGGAGAGTGGGTGCTCAACATAAAAAATCAGCTACTTGAAATACAAAAAGGTGGCACACCATCAAAGCAGTTATTCTCTGCCCAGAATACAAGTCTGTCTCTACCTTTGATTTTACGTGAGTAAATGTAAATACTGTAAGAAGTAGAGCCCAGGGCTTTTCGAGGTTGATACAATATATAATAGAACTTGAAAAAACAAATGGAATGCAATCACTTACATTTTGTAAAGTTATGTCCAAATGCCCTTTTTAAGTGCTTCTTGTAGGCAATTGAATGGGTTATGTTTCTAAACTAAATTCAGACAATTTATTAGTGTGACTCCAGTTGGTAGAGAACACAAGTAGTTTTATCTTAATTATACAAAATGTTTATTATTTTTATCTCGTATATGCTTTAGAGTGCAGTACATGGATGACATGGACAACTATGGATACTTGCTCCAGTGTTGTAGTTCACATAAAAAGGTAAAAATGTTCAATGTCACACTGTTAAGAGTGCCTTGTTAAATTTCCTGGACGTGGATCTGATCCAAACACAAGTCACTTATTCCTTGGCTCCATGCCTAACCCTCTACAAGATTTAATTTACACTCAGAGCACGTTTAGAGAACTCCTGCTCACTGACAGACAAACAAATAAACATAACCTCAAGGTAACATTGTTATTCAACAAACCTTGAATGTATAATTGCACATTCAATAAATTAAATCCAATTCCCCTAAATGACCACACAGCTACAGTATGGGGATAGAATAAGGAGAATAGAGGAAGGGTCTTCTATACAGAGAAACACACACAGGAGGACACACAAGAACGGAACAAATAAAAAGTAAAATATTAATAATGCAGCTTACTTTTTTATAATTGATTTATATTATTTGTATTCTACAACTTGCATTTAACAAACCACACCTTCATAATTAATTTTTTGCAACATATAAACCATTGTCAAACATCTATCCAAACTATTACCACAACCGCAATGCTTTTTTCAGCAGGAATAAAGAGCAAATATCGTTTTTCAGATAATAACTGTTCAATATTGTGAGAGTATTGTACAACTTTCTGTAACTTTCTAAAATAGATTCATTTAGAGTTTAGAGTTTTTTATGGCTATAATAACCCATTACATTATCCAAATCATAAAGAGAAGATGGTTCAATTCCATCTTGAACAAGGAAAGAGCATTTGATTTGGATTATTCAGGGTATAGAAGAGCACATTTTAGGGAAATGGAGCCTACTGGGAGTCCAATGAATATCTCAATGTTGTTTAACTATTATTTAACACTTATAATGGCACATGTTACAAACAGTATTTGTTTGACGATGTAATTACGCAACAAGTCATGTCAAAGTCACTCTAACATTGAGTATCCTACTTTCGTATCATTGAGCCAGACGTGGACCCTCCAGCTTCAGCAATGTTCACCTTGACCTCTGACCTCAATAAATAAAAAGATTCAGAAACGTTATTATTAATTTAGGAAACAGAAGGTTTAACTAACACCGATCTGCAACTTTAAGGTTCATTTTATAGATTTTTTCTTTTGTTTCAGTTTTTCTCAGATTTCAGTTTTTCATTACATGTATATGATGGTTTCATTTATTCAGTAGCTAGAAGTTGTCGGCCTGTATTTGTTCTTGTTATGGTGATTAATGATGCAGGTCTACATTGGAAGCTAAGTTATCATCAGTATGCTAAACCATATTTGCAGCTCTTCAAAGCTTGAAGGACAAATACAAAAATAGAAATAAAGAATAATGAATTGTTCACAGTCAAAGCCAAACAAAAGCATCACAGACTTCTTTTAACAGATGTGCGCTACCTTCTCGTCAGCTGTTGATGCAGCTTCTGCTCTGTGACCTTAAAAGCCACATCTCAGCAACACAAATAAAAACTCCTGACCTTTAAAGTCACATTTATAGTTTGATGATGGGAAACCTTTGTGACTATATCCATATTTATGAAGGCAGTACTGTAGAGGACTAGAATTATTAGCATAAGGACCTCTCTGTCCGTTATAAATGATTTGTGATAACGAGCGACTGATGCATAAACACACACACACACACACACACACACACACACACACACACACACACACACACACACACACACACACACACTCATTCTTTGGAAGTTTATGAACATCGTGAGGCCATAATAGGATAACAAATCCCCACTCCACGGCCTTGAACTTTAATAATTTAGTTTTATTCTTACATATTTTATGAATTTAATCTCAATTGAACTTGGATCTATCAAGGTGTATTAACATACCTGAACCGTTCCCACTGCGGGTGCTTCTTTGCGTCCTAAATCATCAGAACTGTTTATTATTTATGTTGTGTTTGTGGGATAAATTAAAACCAGATAATCTTTCCGCAATAAAAGTTGAAAATATTAGGATACAATTTATTCTGTAAAATTATTATTTTATTAACTTCTTAGGTCACTTTCGCTATATAAACCATAGCCGCAGGAAGTAGGGGTGTTGCAGCACCCCCTAGAATCACAGAACGACCGGCATCATTGAAGCTGCGCTGACCGGCGACAGAGGTCCACCGTGTCCCCACAGCGAGGCAACCCCCCCCCCTGTTGACAGTTCACTAGCACCCCCCTCCCCCTTGACAATTCACCGCACCCCCTAAGTAAAATGACTTCCCGCGGCTATGATATAAACCATACGCAGTTGGTACATTACAGTTTGCAGATGTTTTTTAATGAAAGAAAACATTGTCAATAAACTTGCTCACAGGCATGCAAAGGCACACACACACACACACACACACACACACACACACACACACACACACACACACACACACACACACACACACACACACACACACACACACACACACACACACACACACACACACACACACACACACACACACACACCTGTCTCTCCCATACTGAGTCCCTCTGAGCCTTCCCTGCTCCACTTTCTTTCTTTTTTTCATCTGTCATTCTGGAGCATGTCAGTGTTTAACCCCCTCCCATGCTGGTACACACACACACACACACACACACACACACACACACACACAACACACACACACACACACACACAACACACACACAACACACCACACACACACACACACACACACACACACACACACACACACACACACACACACACACACACACACACACAATCCAGGGCACCAGTTTAAACAGACACCATCAGTTTAAGCAGTTGTCAAACCTTTTCGCTCACTATTTAAGGCCATATAGAGTCAGGACTGTCATTAACAGTTGATTTGTAGTGTTTTGGCTTGCGTGTGTGTTTGCGTGTTGAGGGCAGATACTGGCTTGATCTACTCATGGCTGACAGGAATCATTTTGTAGTCTGGTTAGAGACCAGGCTCTCTCTCCTTTTCTCGGCGAGAGATACACACAAACAGTTTAGGAGGCTGCGGGGTTCCTTCCTCATGGCTGCATCCAGCATTTAGGAAGCTTATGGATTTTTAAGTACTAGAGTGTGGTGGTGTTCAAAATAAGAAGATCTAAAAATGTTAAGCCTAAACCTGCACTTTCTCTCCGAGTTAGGGGAGATGCTCGGCTGTTTAAATCCTCTGAGGTGTTAAGATGTAAAATAGTGATGTGATGCTCCTTAAAAAGGTGGTTAAACTCATATGAGCTGCAGTCAGCGGATATCATTCAGCAATCACTAAAATATGTCCCTGTTTCTTTTACAGAAAAAAGGCCATCCTTCTTTCATATCACAACATATAACGAACATATGTCTTAAAGATTCACAGGAACCTATAAGATGAGTAAACTGTTTTGTGCAAATTAGGAAATAGATACTGGGTGTTGATGTGCATACTCCTCACTATATTCCTAATTGAATGTCCTTAAAAACATTCAAACGCAAAATGTCCTTGGTTTGTCCTTCACATTATCCGCTTGCACATTTTGTTATTTTTCCTGGTTATGGTTTGCCTGAGATGCATTTAGACTCGGATGAAAAATGGCATCATATCATATCTCACATGTTTAATAGCTTTATGGACCATGTGACAGCATGTGGGCATTGGGGCAACGTGCCTGCAATATTGAGAAGTCCTTTATTAAGCGTGCAGGGATGCTGTGCGCTTGCGAGTGTGTGTGTGTGTGCGTAAAAGTAAATGTGAGAGCATCTTTCTTAACATCGGACATCTCATGTTGTTAAACAAGCTCACTGATGTCATGGGGAATATAAATGCGCTATGCGTAAAAGCATTAGCGGCGTTTTCTTGATAAGGAGTCACAAACATGGCACAAAACAGATTAGGAATTAGACGTGCAGGAGCCAATAGAGATAATCCTGTTATCTCTTTGGATGTAAAATGTGGAAGCATCCTCAGAGACCAAGATGAACTGAACATGAACTAATGTTGCAGATATACCGAAGGAGGAAGAGGAGGAGGAAGAGGAGAACAACACAATATTGGCAACCTGCATGTAAACACTGTTGTTCTTGACCTTAAGGGACACCCACGCCGTTTACCGCAATGTCACCGGTGGTCTTCCCAATCCATCAATTGATAGCCCACACACGCGTCAGTTCGATATCCTCTGATGACATTGTATCACCTTTGAGAATCCACTGTCAGATACAACGCCGGCTCTCTAAAACATGAGCCGGTATCGATAGACGGCCGCTGCCAAGTTGAACAGAAAGGAATTTGGGGCTCTGCTCATTTCGGGTTTGGGATCCCTCGTGCCGGTGGAGACGCACTTGATCTTACCAAAGCGCATTTAACATTACGCACGACCAAAAAGCGCGTGAACACACACCCACACACAGATAACCTAGAAACAGCCATACACATCAGGAAAGACATTACAAAAAAAAAAGGCAGACTTACGGGATGACCCTGGGCTCTTCTGTGCGCCCCATTGAGAAATTCCCGGTATTGCCGTTTGGAATATCCTCAAATTCCGTGGTCGCAGTCCACGTCTCTGCAAATGTACCAAAGGATTACATAGAGGATGAGGAGTATCGCGAAGATGAAGAGCGCTACTAGGATGGCCTTGGTCACCGGAGAGATGATCGAGTGCATGTCAGGAGCAGAGCCGGGCAGAGCGGCGTGGAGCTCCGCGTCCGTCCGTCCTCAGTCTGCTGTCTCTCTCGCTCTCCACCGCTCCTCTCCGCCGCTCCGGTAGCAACTGTTGAGGAGGGAGTCCGGGGCTGTATCGTGCGCGAACACACACATTTATAGCCTGTCGCACGTGCACACTCGAGTTTCTACCGGCGATCTCAGCGCGCAACGCGTGGGGGGCTTCCCTCTTGGAAGCGACGCACGAGTGAGCTGTATGTCCTCAGACTCACTCTCTCCGGCTGTCTGTCGCTCTGAAGAGACACAGACAGGGAAGAGAGAGACAGAGAAGACTACTGAAACCCGATGAAATTCAGCAGGTGGAGGTTTGGAGGAAATCCTGCAGAGAGTTCTTGACACACGATGGATGAAAGTTGTGCGCCGAGCTTCTGCAAACAGGTTGATTAGTATTCTTCACGGCGGTGCGTGTCTGTGTGTGTGAATGTGTGTGTGTCTGTGTGATGGCTCGGCATGACAGGCTATCATTTTATGAAGACCCTCAGTATCCCTTTTTGAAGCAAAGCTGTCAGTCGGAAGGATTAGTAGATGAATCCAGATGGTTATTGCACTAAACCCCTCTTCCACTTGATCTGCCCTTTATTGCTAATTTACATAGGGTAATTCTCATAAGGTTGCTACTGTTGCACCATTTCAAAAATAACTAATCCCACAATAATCCCATAAAAAAGGCAAATGGTTTAGAAATGTAATGGGGAAAAAACGTAGGTGTCATGCTATCTTTGCAGGAGATAAACTATTTTAAACGAAATGGTTATTTTTGAAGAAGCTGTTTGATATTGTTTGTGTGTGTTTTTTGAAGGGGCATCTTCTCTCCTTCTTTCTAGCGAACACCGAGGCCTATAGGCTATACCTTCAATTTGACTTTTGCAATAACATGGTCATTAACAAATAGGAAAATCGGTTTGTCGTTTAACTTTAGCAAGGAAAAATGCAGAGTACTAAAGTGTAGACTAAGGTTGTAGCTTTTACAATCACCCCATATTGACTGCATGAAACAAATGTTTTATGTTGCCTCACTAATGGTATCGTGCTTCATTTCCGGATGATTCTGAGAACACAAATCATAATTAGCCACTGTACAGGATGCAATTAGAAATCATTATCTTTGCCTGAATGTAACACATATTATTACGAAAAAACTGATTAAAAAGCGCGGAAAGGACATTATGATTATGTATAGAATAAGTTAAGTAGGTCGCCAAACTGAAGGATGAGGGAACATTATGAGCCCGAGTGATCAGGAGCGCACTGTAGGCCTTCCTTCAGCCGATGTGAACCACTAGATGGCGACAAATAAATAAAAATCAAGTCTTCATAAAATGTGATGGTGTATTTGATTATTCCGCACACCATCATTACACTGTAGTCTTGCATAACAATCATGACAGCTAAACGGCTTTAAGACGCACAGCAGGTAAGAAGAAACAATGCAGCTTTAATAGTTGACATGTTACTTGTGCGCTACTGATATGAATGTTATTGTTGGATGAGTTGCGGGTTAGCGAACGATAGCTTAACTAGCAGCCAATAACATTGTGGCCTATTGAGCGAACTAGCCCTGCTAACAAGTTTGGTAAAAGGTGCAAACGAAAGTTGTGTTTTGTGTCATGTATTCTGTTTCATGAGCGCTAAAATGTATTGTTAAATACTTCACCTACAATGCAATGGAGATGCGGTGTCAACTGTATATTACACCAACAAAATGCAATGTTTTCTGCAACTTGCTAGCAGCTAGCTAGCTTCAACAGGCCGTAGACCGTTGTCAAGCCAGTGAAGGAAAGTACAACTTCCGGTCAACTTCCATGTAATGCAACTGTTTTGATGTTAAGTGTTTTCAAGATCTAGTAATTGTTTCAATTTAAACCTTAAAGTCAGTCAAAAAAAAGCCAAAAAAAGTGTTTAGTTCATAGGATAAATTATTCATGTTTTAGTTGTTTTAGTTTATTTAAATAGCATTCGTCATTATAAAAACAGATGTTTAAAATACAACATGGCAGTTTTGACAATATAAAACTAAATAGAAATGCAGTTAAATAACAGTAAATACAACTGATTCAAATAATTGTACTTAATGCCATCACAGCTGATCCAAAGCCAGCTGACTTCCTAAACATCACAATGATGTCTTGATTTCTTTAAATAGCAGAGATTGTTTCATAGCATGACTACTGTTATGAAATAGTTAGAAGTTTAAGTGTAAAGTTTGTGGTCGTAGTTTAATGTGAGGTGTTGAACGAGCTTTTATTTTGAAGGCACATCCGCCTTTTTCCCTACGTTTCTTCAGTAGCTGTCGTAAAATGTGATGTAGCAGCCTTGTCAAGCGCGGCTAGCTAGCTCGCTAGCAAGAGACTTAACCCATTTAACCTGTGGCACAGTGAGTGTGTTTACATATGGGAGTAAATGTTTGTTGTTGTGTGTTTGAACCGTGACAGATGCCTACTGTCTCCTGAGTTTGATCTGTGTTAGCTAAGGTTAGGTCAAACCTGTCACCAAGTGCTAACGTTAGGTTAGCTAGCGTTAACGTTACCGTTTTCAGATCAAGTGATTGCTAGTTAACTAATTAGATGTTGTTGAAGGGAAGGAAACACAAGTGTAATGTTGCTGACTAAAATGTAAAGCTATGTTCATACCTTTGGTTCTGTAAATATGAAGTTATCAACATAGACTCGCGATGAGCCGTTAAAAAAAATATACCTGGCTGTTGAGTAAAGTACATTAACGTCAACAAAATGACTCCAAACGTTTTACTACTTCGTCTTAAAAAAAGCAGCACAACATGTCAATACATTATCAACTTTGTGGGCTGCTTCACGGTGCTTGCTATCCCTTTACACTGTATAGTACATTTTGTAACGTTAAGATAAGATCACAGAAACCACAGCTGACCCACTTCCAAAACTTGACACATTACTGGGAGACTGTGAATGTGGAACTGAGTAGGATCACAAGTCCTAACGTTTTACTATATGCTAAAAGCTCATATTCTTAGAGCTAAAGCCATATATGTGCGGCAAGTTAGTGAAACCTACTGGGACATCATATTTATAGCAGTAGAGCTCCTGAGTCTCTTACATATCACCTTAATAGGAAACTCATGCCAACTAGGCTAGAGCTGGTTCTTCAGTAAGAATAAAAAACAATGAGTGTCCAGCTTAATTTAAGTGGAAATACTTGGTTTGAGTTGACAATCTGAAAATAATGCAAGGCACACTGGTTGTAAGTTTAAAATCCTTGTGTGATCATACCCCTGGTAAAGTATTGACTGGTAAACACATTGGTTATGCATGTATCACAAGAGGATGTGTAACTTACAATACGAGATGCTTTTCAGTATGCCAACACTTACTGTGTGCTTCCACTCAAAGTATGACAGACACTGGATAGTCAACTGCATTTTCCTGTAAGAGCACCTGAATTTGAACTTGTTTACAAAATCAACAGCAGTTTTCTTGACCAAGTGCAGCGTTCCTTTTACCCCTTTTTGTTAAGTACGAGTGACTTAAAGCTAGTGTTGATAACTTGCTTGAGCCGTGCTTCACAACTTATATTTCTAAGGGTTTTAAGGTGCCAGAATTGAATACAAAAGGTCAATTTTTGCATTTTAATATAATCATTAACCATCGCAATCTTGGAAAAAAAGTAAATTATGGTTAACTTTAAAGTGTGAGTTCACCACGCTAGTTACATTTGAGCTACTTCTTTACAGTCCATGCAAATGTTTTCTTTTTATGTTATTTTGTGTGTGATTTCAAATAATCTTTTTCATGGTCAAATAAACTAGAACAAAATGTTTAGTATTTAGCTTGCCAACATCGTCCAGTCATCTCCCTATTTCTTTCTGTTTTTACAGACTAAAGAACTACTCTATGTAAGATGAACACTGAGGACAAGTTGGAGGGCATGCAGCTGAAGGGCAGCAGTGGAGGGCTGGACGGAGCAGGGAGAGTCGGACTGGGCGGCGGGGGAGGTTTGGTGGTGATGACCTTGGGGGATCGATCACTGGCAGACCACCCTCTGTTGGACGACGACGACGACGATGAAGATGAAGACAACGACTTGACTGGCAGCTCGCTGGTTACACATGACCTGGTTCCTCCAGATCAGCTGATGATGCAGGAGGAGATGACAAAGAATGGTAGAGGAGGAGCAGAGGAGGGCGGAGGAGAGGTGCATTTCCCCCTAAAACTCACCAATAAGTTGCCCTGCTTGCTTCATATGCCAGTGAGTTCATCAGAGGTAGTCCATGTATTGACGAGATTATTTATGTTGCTACTGTAGCTAGACGTCATTACTGTATATTAATTTCCCTTTCATGTATTGCCATGCAATATTTGTTATGGGACATTATTTCCTTCTACACTGAGAATTCACAGGTGTGGACAGATTTATGACAACCATCATGCTGTTGACGGTTTGGTTTAGAGCTGCTTTGCAAAACAATGACAAAACGTTTTTAGGAACAGTGATTAAACACAGTTAAATCTAGACATTGATATAATATGTGTGAAACTAATATTAGTATAATATAAGTATAAAGTCTGTCATCCCACAGAAAACTGTTGAAAATAACCAACATTAGGGATAATATATTGTTGTGAGGAATTACCGCTTGTGTACTTGTTTGCATTCAAAGTCAAAAGCATTAGCTTGAAATGTGTGTGCTGTTTAATCTTTTGGCATGCAGAAGAATGAAAATACAGCACAGTAAACATACTTTTTAATGCTGTGAGTGTAAACATCTAGGATAACCTGACCTGAGGATCAGGCTTAGGGATTTAATTCCTGTTTCTTACAACTTGGATGTTACATATCCATAATTTCTGTACGAAACACTCGTAATGCTCAAATGTTAGGCAGCATCGTTAAATAAGTCATATGGCATCTGCAGAGGCTCCCAGCTGGAAGAGGAGATATCTCAGCATGTCTTGTGTTTTCTAGGACCTGAGGTTTCCCTTTGGTTATTCCCAGAGGGTGCTTGAACCTGTTCAACTTGCCTCTGAAATTATGGAGGGGAAGCTGCTGCGTGGTGAAGTCCCCTCACATTGGTTATTATCCTCAACCTGCCTGACCCTGATAAGCAGCTGGATAAGTGGGTGGACTTTGAAGTAGGTTATGTGCCTTTTAAAATGTGTTTTCCTATCTGTGCTCCTACTTCCACAGTTGAGCATCAAGCAGGAACTGAAGCTGTCCGAGGCACCGGGCCAAATGAAGAAAAAAGCAGTTAAGGACCTGATGGTGTCTCCCAAGAAGAAAAAAAGGAAGCAGCGTTCACCAGCAAAGGTACAGGTCAGTTTTTATCTTAAAA